GGTAACAGAAGATGTAAGATTGGAGCAACTGTAGAACTACATATTCTATTCCAACTTGATTTTGAAAAGATCAAATTAATGAGAAATCATCCCACAATTTTCTGTTAAGCGAGTGGCTGCCACCAGTTAAGCATTTATTTATCCAAGAGTAACTGTCACTTATTTCTATGTTATAGTGACCACAAAATTATCAACCTCTTGGATCTTGTTCAAGGGAGAACTTCTACAAAAAAATATTCTCATGATAATTAAGCAAGAATTATATTTTGATGTTATCTTTTAATTCATAAATTTTTCTTTTTTCTTTTTTTTTCTTTTTTTTAATGAATTTTTCTTAATTCATAAGTTTTTCTTTTTTTTGAATTTGCTTATCATTATGAATAAAATAAAAAACTTACTGGGGGGAAAAAGCAATTGATGGCCACAAGCAGTGTAAATGGTAAGGAATGGAAAACTATAGTCATATAAATTTTAGTTTATACTAAACTATTAAAAAGAACATTGTTCCATACACTACTGATTAAAAAGTCCACAGAAGAAATTTTTTTTGTAGCAATATGGGAGAATGAGGAAAAAATGGAAAATGGATGATTTCAGAAATAAGCAGTTCTCAACCACAATGTTTGTGTCCTCCATTTCCCTCTTTTCCCCTATAGATTAGACTGAAATTTGAGGAGGCATTAAAAATGATTTCTATGAAATATTTTTCCATGTATTCCTATGGAATTATATGGAATGTGAGAATGAAAATATATATACAGGTAATACACAGAAGTAGTAGTTGATTCAAACTATTCAAAACCAAAAATTAAGTGATCTGAATTATACCACCAAGAGATAAGTATACCATCATCTACTAAGAAGTATATTAATATATATTATATACAGTGTACATTAAAAGTAATTATCTGCATGTGTATTGTTATAGATTAAATAACATGGCTGCAGATTTCCAGTTTATTGGTTCAAATTATTTCTTGGCAACAACTGTTTGCCAAGAGATACTTGCAATCCATCACACAACAAGCACTGTATTTATATGTAATTTTGAATACTATGAACAGACTGAAAAATTAAATGTGCTAGAGATACTTCATGACAGGTGCTCCAAATCAATGCACCATTTAGAATACTCTAGTACAGAGGTTGCCAACTGGTGGGCCGTGAGAAAATTTTGGTGGACCACCGAGAAATCTCACCCCCAGAGCATCCCCACAAAGTAATTAATCCAGGCTGCACATAAACACAAAACTGTGCAACCCACATGGCCCGCAGGAACCCTCCCCGCCCACTCACTCCTTACCCGGTAAACTTGCCTGCTAAATTGCTATTTTTCCTTTTTCCAACCATCATCTGTTCTGCAGTGCCGGGAGATTTAGATTAGCTAGGAAGCAGGAAATGGTTGGATTTCTTGCTTTCTAGCTAGTCTTTAGTTCTTTGGCTCAGCACAGCCAAACCTCCCTTAGGACTGAAGGTTTGCTTGCAAGCAAATTCAGTGCAGACTCAACGGCAAGCAATTTGAGAGACTGAGCTAGCTGATGGCAGATAGATAGATCACTGAATGATTCTGTGAGCAACTCAATCTGCCTGCCTGCTTTGCCTGATTTTGGGTAAAAGTTGCTCTTTTTTTAAATAAAAAATTCAATATTTACATGCATGGTGTTGTGAGTTAATTTTGTGAGTTTGCTTGCAAGCAAATTTTATGTGACAGACTGAGTTAGCTAATGGCAGATAGATAGATCTCTGAATGAATCTGTGATTCTGTGCGTAACTCAATCTGCCTGCCTGATTTTGGGTAAAAGTTGCTCTTTTTTTATAAAAAAATCAATATTTATATAAATATTTATAATATTTACATACAAGCCATGCTCAGCCAGTCACATGACCACCAAGCCACACCCACAAATTAGGTCACGCCCACAGAACCGGTTAGTGGTCGCTGGGATCTAAAATTATGAGTTTGGTGGTCCCTGAGGTGCAAAAGGTTGGCGACCCCTGCTCTAGTAGATATATTATACAAGCCTACTGAACAAGCATGTAAACTCCTTTTTCCCCCAAAGTTTCTCCTTACCTGTTCCTCAGCTCTACTTCTTATAATCATAAACCCAGTCATAGGTAAGCACTAATTATTTAAACTGCATAACCTGAAGAATCACAATTGAAGAACATGAATATTAAAACTCTATTAAACTTATAAGAGATGCTCCATGGCATTAACTAGTAGAAGCATTTACAGACTTAAATTTAGATCCACCAGCTGTGATAAGATACTTGGACATGTGATTTTACCCCCCTAAACTCTGCCTGTCTATTACTTTCAAATAGACAGGCTATCAACTTGAACAACAATCCGGCTGTCAGATAGACCCCTGGTTTTAGGAAGACTCAAGTACTCTGACTTTGTAATTTCAGAACTGGCCATTACAGCAATTTAAATTTTAACAGCCACTTGCTTAGAAAAAGATGGGAATTATCAAGAAAGAAAAAAGTAAACAGATGCAATTGTAACTTCAAATGTAGTTTTTAATATCTAAATCATGTTCCCTTCTCAGTATCTATTCTTAAATATTCATGCATGTACCTGTAAGTTCAATTAACATATTGTACAAGACAGGCTCAAGCCTCCAATTAATAGGAAACCAATGGGTAACTTTGAGCCATTAATTCTGCCATACTCCAACCTCTTTCAAAGAATTATTGCTGTGTGGTGAGAATGAGGGGAAGACACCTATGTACTCTTCACTGAAGTCTCAAAAAAAAAAGCTAGGATATAAAAGCAAATAATAAATTTTATACATAAAAATGCCATGATCTCTTAATAACTTCATATATTGGCAAATGGGAACTACAAAAATGTTACTGTGTAGAATGCCCTATTTCTAGGCCTAGCCAATCCCTTGTTTGGGATAACCTACTTTTTACTTTCTCCTTGGCTATTTTGTAAAAATAAGTTTCTCTCATTCTGAATATATAGCATAAACATTTTTACATATTCTACATTACAGGATGCAATTCCTCTATCTATTATAGACATGCAAAGTATTCAAATCCCAAATGCATCTATGAATGTAAGCATGGTGTATACTTCATTTTTCCCTAAGGAAGCTGATCTTCTACCCCATATAAGTGGCCTTGTCTTTTCAACAAATATTAGATTTGTATTCCTATGGAATTATATGGAATGTGAGAATGAAAAAATATATACAGGAAATACACAGAAGTAGTAGTTGATTCAAACTATTCAAAACCAAACATTAAGTGCCTCTGAATTATACCACCAAGAGATAAATATACCATCACCTACTAATAAGTATATTAATATATATTATATTCAGTGTACATTAAAAGTAATTGTGTGTATGTGTATTGCTATAGGTTAAATAACATGGCTGCAGATTTCCAGTTTATTGGTTCAAATTATTTCTTGGCAACAACTGTTTGCCAAGAAATACTTGCAATCCATCACACAACAAGCACTGTATTTATATGTAATTTTGAATACTATGAACAGACTGAAAAATTAAATGTGCTAGAGATACTTTATGACAGGTGCTCCAAATCAATGCACCATTTAGAATACTCTAGTAGGTATATTATGCAAGCTTACTGAACAAGCATGTAAACTCCTTTTTTCCCCCAAAGTTTCTCCTACCTGTTCCTCAGGTCTTCCTCAGATTTTTTAAGACACTGAATATGGTCCATTCTCACTGGGCTGTTATTTTTGTTCATTCAAAAGAGATTATCCTTTTAAATTTGTAAAAAAAACCTGAAAATTCATATTTTACAAACTATTCCCAAATATACCCTAGTTTTTCAATATTTCTATTCTGTTGATTACTACAAGTTATTTGTGGTATCAGAGGAACTAATTTAAATGCATGTATAATTGTTTTCAATACTTTCTTCAGAAAAAAAAGTTGAAAATTAACTTCTAGGAGGAGCAGCATGTTTTCTTCATACCGTATTATGTAATTTAATTGATCTCTATAGAGCAAATAATTTAATTCCAAGCATTCTGAGCTAAACTTTATGTTCAGCTGGACTTAGGAAAGCTGTCAAGTCTGTAGAGGCTTTTATTTTATGATGGGATTGTAGCTATCTAACAATAGGGCAGAAAAAGGTAAATAAATACTTTTGAAGTATTTATCTTGAAGTATTGAAGAAATAGAACAGTTTCATAGATTTAGTGGCAATTGTAATATTTAATGCCCATAAGCAATTTTAGATGAAAACACCTTACAGCAATGAATTATAAAGTTGTATCTTCAGATATGACAGAACCATGCAAGCCTGTAGTGCAAAACTTGCAAAACTTCACTCCCATAACTTAGTCTGTCCAACTTTACAGCAACATATAAATCAATCTATGCTATGATATAGTGGTATACTTTATACTGAATAAATACAAAAACTCACATTTCATTGATATAGATTGTACAAATAGATGGCACACTTAAGAAAACTTTACGTACTTGTTTTTTAATCATATTATTGCAGTTGAACAATACACTTTTAGGAATGGGGGGGGGGATTCATTTGTTTTTCAGTCAGTGTCTTATGCTTAATTTATCCAGTGATGCCAATCTAGTACTAGTGACATTATAATTGCTTCCATGGTAGCAAATTGTAAAGTCACAAACACTGATTGATTCATTTCATGCTGCCACAATTCAGAAAGAAAGGTCAGGCATTTTCTTTAATTAAGACAAAGAATTATTTATAAGTCTGAACATAGTTCTTTCCTCTAATTTTCATTTCACATGATTAAAAAAAAAATAGCAATTAATTTCTTGTACATTTTTAGAATGTAGAGAAAGTTATAGAATATCATGGTTTTCCTGGAGGTTGGAGGGAGAAATAATATTCAGTTTCAATTAGTAAGATAGATATGTGTATAATATAACCAATACCTGCTATATCTGTTCTGTTTATATGATAGTTATCAATCAAGTATTTGTAAATGAATTACTTTGTCTTTCAAAGACATAAAATTTACTTACCAACAATATTAGCCTTTGATATTTCCTTTTCAATTCTTTTAAACTATCACAAGGTTCTGCACCCAGGATGCTATACCAGTCCTTTTTTGGTATGTCTTCAAAAGCCATTGCATGATTAGGTATTTCCAGTTTTCTGTTTAATTATTAGAACAAAAGTAAGTGTTAATTTAAAATGATGAAAAAAACTAATGTTTCCAAGCATGACTCAAAAAATTAAGCAAGGTATTTCTGACATTTTAAATGAACAGAAGGGTCAAATTACTACAAAGGGAGGGATTAATTTTTCCCCAACAGATATATTCTTCTATACATATTCTGAAAACCAACAGCTGCAGTTTTTCCTATAAGGGTATGTCGGAATTGTAATTGCCATCTTATGAACAATATGCTAAACTACTATGGAGAATGCTTATAACTGAAATTAGGAAGAGAAATAGTAGGAACAGTATTACAAGCACACTAAGGTTAAAGTAACAGAAAACATACCCATTAAATTGACAAAAATATTGTGCAGGCCAAAATAAATAAATAAAATTAAAAACAGATTTCACAAAAGGTAAACAATTATTTTATAACCATGACTTTATGCCAGCAAAAGCTAAAAATTAATGCTGAAATATTTTGAGTAAAATAAAAGGAGATTTTAGAAAAAAAATTCCTAAGTAGTTTTGCCATGATTCAATAAAGTTATGTAACTGATTTCTTGTGCTCAAAGGAGCTTTTTATTTGATTTTTTGCTACAATAACCCTGAATAGGATTTTTAAAAGGGAAGGTACTTCAAAACTGATAGACACTTTCAAGTAGACTAGCATTAGAAGTGTCTAAAGCCAGTGCTTTGGATTCCAGCTATTGAAAAAATTTCTTTGAATAAACACTCAAGATGGTGTATATTACAAAGTATTAATCCCATTGATTTACCCCATAGAAAGCATAAAAAGGACTGCAGCTTTGTTTAGTACATTTTGTATGCTGCCTTTAAAAATAAACTCTTATAAAACTAGTTTTAAGATTAAAAATGGAGAGAAAAATACCAACATGCAAAAGTGCTGACTTTTAATCAACTATACTGGGGAAAAAGACAATCCCAAGGACTTGAAGTAGTAAAATACATAATACAATTCATGTCAGGCAGTGGCTAACAGCTCATTACATTAATGAATGGCAAAGAAAGAAAAAAGGCTTTGAATGTGAAGCAATCGTGACAGCATCTCATTAGCCACTGGGACCAGGGAGACAATTACACAAGGAACTGAACTCTTGAAGAACAAATATCCAGAACTCCAATGCAATGAAAGCTCTTGGAAGCCACTTCCTCCATTTAACAGTGCTTATCCCAATTGCTAAAAAAGTCCACTTTTGCAAAGTCCACTTAGAGTTTGAAAAGTCCTTGGTGAGGAATTAGAATCACATAATTAGAATCACATAAGACTTAAGAAACTGCTATTATCTCCCCTAAAAACACACAGAGTTTAATCAGAACACCATCTTGTGGGACCCAAATTAACCACTGAACTTTCAACTCCATCCAAACCATGAATTTCAGCTATTTTTGTCACATCATTTCCATAGATACAATTTATCTAAGACTACTTCCCACTAAAACACACTAATAGAGAATTGGAACTTTATGTCATCTTGTATTCCAGAATTAGTAACATCTGCATTCAATAAACAGTTATAGCAAAAAAAATAGTTGTCCTCATTGACTGTAATTGGGACCAGCAACTTCATTGCTAAGTGATGAGATTGCAGAGTGAAACATCATGTGTCCATCTATGCTGTCAGTTCCTGCTACATTAAACAAATCATTCGCAGTCGTTAAGCATGTTATATGACCGCGAGTTGTGTCTTCTCCATTTTGCTTGTCAAAAAACATCTGTGAAAGTTGAAAATGGTGATCTTGAGATCACAAGATCCTGCAGCCATCATAAATGTACCATTACTCTGGTTGCTAATCACCTAAATCATAATCCCATGACAATGGGGACATTGTATCACAGGTTTTTCAGAACCATTGTGTATAGTTGCTGAATGAGCAGTCGGTAAACAAGGACTACCTGTATATAACTTAGCAATTCAACCTTGGAACCCAGAGAGTACTTTCATACATTCTAAGTATTATTTTACTTCATGCAGAGAAACTGGTGGCAATCTGAAGTCCAGAAAGAAAAGTTGGTGTTGTGATTCCTAGTTCTATGGAACCTGGATCTGACAGTGATATATGCCAAAACTGAGGTCTGGTGTACGTATACATTAGAAATGTTCTAAAATTTGAAATAGCTAATTCTGGCTTTTTGTCAGCTCTCCCAGATAATCCAAACAGGAAACACAATCACATGAGCTTATTCTACTTTATTATAAAGCTACATTAAACAAAATCTTGCAAGTCTGAAAATACAAATCTCCCATTGTCACTTTGTCACAACAGTCCAATGTGTTAGGCGGATCTTTTTAAAGTTTTTTTTTCTTTGCTGGTTAAGCAATTGCTTCTCTATTTTTGTTTCCTAGGTAGTATCTCTTCTTCTCCTCCCTCAAGGTCATTCCCACATACTATTACACAAGTGTTTTAAACCCCAAATGTGTTTTCAAACCAACAAAACAATATTAAATTCAGAATGTTTCAAGAACACAAAACATTTCAAGCCTTCATATCCATGAATGACAATTACACGTAATTGGGACAATTATACTTAATATCACTGCCAATATATATTTCCACAAGGGAGAGATGCATACATTGAGTTGTGTACAGAATATGATTACTCTAGACCAGCAATGGCGAACCTTTTTGTTGCGGTGTGCCAAAAGCATGTGCACACGCAATAGCGCATGTGCATGCTAGCACCTACGATGCAATGCACCCTGGCTCCCCTGCGCACACAACACCTCCCTTACCTGCACTGTGCATGTGCGCGCCTCCCACATGATTTTCGGTTCGTTTGAGGCCATTTTCGCCCTCCTGGAGGCTTGAGGGAAGCCTCTGCAGGAGGCTGAAAAATGGGCTTCTAGACTCTCCCTTTGCTAGCAGAAAAAAAAGTTGGTTGTTTTAATATAAGGGTTAGAATTCCTGAATCTATGAACCAAGGCTGAGAAAGGCAAAGATTTAATACAGTTCTTTTCAGTCTCAAGTCGACTTTGAAATTTCCAAGAGGATACGAAGCCCATATGAGTGAAACATACTATAGTTTGTGTATGTATGTATGTATGTATGTATGTATGTATGTATGTATGGTATTCAGCTTTGTTCGGGTATTTTCCCACGTCATTATAGTTGTGCTTTTAAAGTTGTAGCACCGTTTCGGCAGAATCTCATCTGCCATCATCAGGCTTCTGTATTGTGTTCGTCTGTGAGTCAGACTTTCACAGCTGTTTCAGTTTTAAATTTGGGGCTAGCCTACTGCTGTGCCAGAATGGTTTTTTCGTCATCCTGATTGGTTGGGAGTCTTGGTCTGTGTTTATTGGTCTTGGAGTTTGCTGTGTTCTGCTTGATTGGCGTTTCTAATATCTTCTGTCTGTTTTGTAGCTTTTTTGATAAATGATAGCCGTCCGTTTACTCGGAGCCAAGCCGCACTAAAAGCCTCCAATACAGGAAACACAATGTTGCCAGCCAATCAAGACAAAAAAAGCTATTGGTATAGATGTAAAATGCAGACTAAGAAAAATTTTCATTGTTATACTGTACTAGAACCTGAGACGTAATGAAATGTGTTATCAACAACTACTAGTATGGCTATTACAGAATGGACAAGTGTAATTATATCTATCCGCTGTACTTTTAGATTCCCTAAAAGTACTTGATAGCTGTCTACTGTAATCAAGACAATGCTACATTTTGTTACATTTTTGTTTACCCCAGCACAATAAAAAATTATCTAGCCAAATATTTTTTCTTAAACTAATATGAATTGTGTACATCCCATGTGCATACATACAACTTGGAATATCACAGGCAATCAGCTACTATTCTGTTAAGCAGAGAGGTCAAGGCCACATATCATAACAGGAAATTAACTTGCAGAGGAATTTTTTAACAAGGGAATGGAAAAATATCTAAGATTCTGAGATTCACATTTAAGACAAGGGGCAAACACTGTGGTTCCTAATTCAAGAGTTGTGGTTCCTAATTCAAGAGTTTTCGAAGTTTTACTCAGGGATAGATCATCCCATCAACATTTATTAAGTATTTCAGGATTTTGGGATGGAAGAAATATGTTTGAATGATGTGCAAGTTTGGAAGTGAAATTAGAAAAAAGCATTGTAGTGGTTTATAGAAGAAAAGAGTGCAGGAAAAAGTTATATAAAAAGAATACCTGGAAATGTAGACTTATTAATATCATAAGAAACAATCTTATTTCAATTTATGTAGCTATTCATGTCACATTTGCGAAACTTTTTTAGCTTCAGGTTTTTAGATTTAGATTCTTGATTTTTAGACACTAGGGCTAGTTTGTTCTGCTAGGGCATGATTTCTTTAATATTAATAAAACACCCAACACAGAGATGGTTTAGAAAGTACAACGTCAGGGTGCGTGTGTGATACAAACTGTGATGCAACTCTAAACAGGCCTCATTATATACGTGCATATTTTTTGAGTCAGATCTATTGCAAAAGCTCCGGTGTATTAATTTAAAGAAATGATTTGGTCGGCGGTGGTGAGGAGGGACTGGAAGCAAAGCTTTTATTGAGATAAGGAAGCGAGGCTTTTGCAAATTTTGACGAATAGGTACGCCGATGACTTGAAACTCTGGAAAGTAGCTATTGAAGGCGGAATCCAGGATTCTGCATTATGGTATATATAAATGCACATTATATTTTCTGCCCGGAAAGTTCGCCGCTTCCTCATACCGAAAGGAACAAGAAGTAAAGGAGAATTAAGCCCTTTCTAGAGATACAAGTCAGTCTCTATCGTAGTTTAAAACGCCAAACGTGGCCACCATACCTCTTCTTCCGGGTGACCAAACGTCCAGTCCGCCTTTCACTGTACTCCCGCTCTCTATGGCCTGGATCGGGGGGAGGGGAATCCCGAAATGGTCCCCCTTTTGGGGGGCTCAAGCAGCAAAAAAAAAAAAAAAAAAGACCAGCATCAAGCAGAACGAGGCGATACTTCCGGCAGCGCTCTCTCGCAAGGTGGTCCTGCCCCCACACCCGCCTGATTGGTGCAGGAAGGAGGAGAGGCGTGGCCAGCAAGGATAGCCTACTACGATAAGCTTAGCGGTCTTTATGCGGGGAAAGGAGTATTTTGTGCTGAGGATCTGGGAAGAACGCGGGTAGGTTCAGAGGCGCGGGGAAGGACTCTATGTGTCTGTCTGTGTGTTTTACTACCACTAAGGCGGATTTTCCATGAGATTAATGATTTTATATTGCTGTAAATGTAGCAGTCATGAGATTGGGATTTTTAATGAAATTGGTGGTTTTTATATGGCAAACTCTTGACTGCTGTGAACCACTGATTTAAACATCGCAAAGAACGATGTGTTAGAGGCTTGGGATTTTATATGACCCTCAGGTAGAGCTATACAACCTGTCATTTCATGCTTCCAGCCCTGATTAAAGAGGCTGAGATTTGAGAGATGACATTGCCAAATCTTGTTTAGTTTGCAGAGACGTCAAGAAACCAGTACAACTTTTCGGACTGACAAATGTTAAGGCTTTATCTTTATTCAACTTGCATCAAAAGATTTCAAGCAATCTCAGAAAGTCTCAACAGATGCAACCTATCTTCCTCCCTTCTTCCCCACCTCACCCCATTTTAAATCTTACATCAGTCTAGCCCAGAGGTCTCCAAACTTGGCAACTGTAAGACTTGTGGAAGTCCACAAGTCTTAAAGTTGCCAAGTTTTGGGACCCCTGGCCTAGCCATTCGAAAAATCTGATGAGGTGAGTTGCAACTTATGAAAGTCAATGTCTTTTAATAAAATTTTATTTGTGAAAAAAATGTGGTACCAGACTCCTGATTTTCTGTCACTGTAGAATAACATTCTCCTATTACGTTGTCTTGCAGGGATGTGTGACAGTGGTCCTGTAACACTGGTTTAACTTGCACTGAGTTTATACAGTGAATCCTGTAGTTATACTATCATATGTTCATTTGTGTGGCAGAGAAATGAGTAAATACTGCAAGAGCTGCTAAAGGTAGCAGAGTTATGATTTTATATACCAAGCAAGTTTGTAAATGATGGAGATTTATTTATACCAATAAAGAAGAATATATGTAGCCAAGGACCTCTCATTTATTTAATATCATAATCTGATTTCATTCACAGAAATTGGTGATCATCAACACTGGTTTACATAGTAAGGATGTAGTGAACCTTTATTCAGAAGTAGAAGATAATTTTATTTTACCACTCAGTGATTCCAAACATATATGTTTGCTGCAAGATCAGTGCCTATGTTCTTAAAGTTCTATTATGTCCACTTTCCCTTAAGCTGCCAGGAGCTTAAGGGAAACAGAGGTAACATATTATGCCATTACCCCAAATAGGGGATTTTATTTGTTCTCAAAAAGGTTGTTGCATTCTTGAGAATTCTTGAAATATCCTAGAGTAAAATGTAAGTTAGAAACCATTACACAACAATTTCATACATTCTTGCAGTTGTCTATGTGCATCTCTGTAACGTAACATTCTTAAGGACCTGGCATGCCATAATTATCAATGGTCTATAGGTGACAAATTTCTCATTGTGGAATAGTTATTCAGGCCCAATTAGTTCTAGAGGGAATTACCCCAAAAGCTATTACTGATTATATTAGCAGTTTTACTACAGCAAGGAACATAAATATATTTGGCATGTCATATTTTGTACAGTCCAAGATACCTTATTAAAGAGATTTCTTTTTGAAAATTAATGGGTATAACATATTTCATACAAGCAAGGGAAATTATATAGAGAACTCAAGAAGTACTGCTTTTCTTCATCCGCTTTGGAAAACAAAAGTGGTTTTGGAGCTAATATTGACAGAAATGAGAATGAGAAGAATACTGAAATGATTGCAAATACATGTATTTTCTCCAACTTCTAATAACACTGATTTCTACCAGATACTCCATAACCAACAAAACAAATGAAAAAAAAAATCCTAGTACCTGAGAAGAGGCATTTTATGATGTAACAACATAACCAGATGTCACAAAAAGCCTGCAGGAGGAGGCTACTATGAATGGACTGGAGCAGCAATTGATTATAAATAACTTTTATAATCCACCAAACTGGATTATAGTGCAGCTTTGCAGATGATGCTGTCAAACGGGGAAAAGTGCTAAGCAGACACAGTTTTAAATCATTTCTTGCTGTACTGTTGCTAGGAACATTCCAGCTACGGTTGCTGTTTGCTACCAGGCCCCAAAGACTGACTGCACTCACAGGAACGCGAATCCAGCTAGAGAGAGACGCTGTCACCATAGCAACCAAAAACCATTCAGAACAGGCATGCCGCTGCAACCGATAGTAAGTGACTGTTTTATTTCTTTGCATTATTCAAGTTTTCATCTATGTCAAATAAGACTTTCATTAACTGCAAAAGCTTGAACTTCCCAGTAGCTTTTCTCAAGATACTGCCAAGGAAGGTTTTCTTTCCTTACCTGCTCATGGATGCAGTCTTTTCTTGGCACAATTGAAGTCCCAACCCAAAAATATATAGCATCCTGCTTTTCTCAGATATTCAGGATTTTCATCATATCTTATCTTAGTCTCACTAAAATTTGGGCAGCTATACAGGAGAAAGAGAACACACACATCATATTTTTCCCTGTAGATAGTGAGCAGAGGAGGGCTTATTCCAGGCCTTTATTCTGGTAGTGTATCTGTACAACCAGAATGTAATCTTGGTATGGTTAGTACTGTCCATCTATCTGATATTTTAAACTTTTATCTATGCAATCTTATTTCAGTAGTCTGTTGTTGTGAAGTTGAAAATACAGCAACTGTGTTGAAGCCTTTGCAAAGGGTGAGGGCTGAATATATTTTCTTCCAGGTGTCTTAAATATATGTTAGAGCAATTTTTCTATATTTTAGAGCAATTTAATGCTCCAAAATGTGAGCTTTAGTTTTCCATTTTTCAAAATGAAAAAGAGATTGATGGGGAAAAGCTTGTTCTGGACCATTGGGCTGATTTGTTACTAAGGAAGTGCTTCACTCTGCTATGTAGGAGTACACCTGGCTAACACATTAAAAACTGAAATCAATGTTTCTATTGCGGTGCCTTTATGTGTCTGAAAAGTGAAAAATGTGAGATATAATTTGAAAGGAAAATACTAGTCTCCGTAACATTAAAAAGAAATGTGCCAAATAGTCACTTGTTGTGTTACAAACAAAGCTGATAATGTTTCTTTATTTTCAGAAGACAATTCTTGTTAGATAAATATTTTGAAAAGGATTTCATTGGGTGCAAGGATATTTCCATTTAATTTATTTACACAGCTAGTGTAACCTCATCTGTCAGATCCCTTCAAGAATTGAACTGAGCTGATTTATTACCTGCTCATATCTTGTTCAAGAGGTGCTGTTTTGAAGATGACTTTCATCTGGATCCATTGGAGATCTGAAGACCTTGAGGAGAGACTGTTTTCCTATTGACGGAAAGGTCTCTCCTGAGACTTGAGGACCTGATAGGGTCTCAAAGAGGGATGATGTCTTAATGGTTTTGCAGCCCTCTCCCAGTAGTCCAGGCAAAGCAAGCTGGGGTGATATGCCTTTAAGAAACATAATTAATTGGAGAAAAAAGGTAATAATTTAAGTAACTAGTAGACTAGGGAAAGCATGTCAAATATGTTAAATGGCAATAAAATATGCACGGTCCTTCAGCTATTGCCCCTTTTGTAGTGGGAAGAAATATCTATCTGGTTCAGTTCTAAGAAAGGCACTGGAGACAAAATGGAATTTGGAGGCTGATTAGAAAGAGGGTCGATTTATTGATGATCAGAAACCACATAGATTCATTTCAGTTTCAGGGCCAGAAATGCAGTGGAAGATTATACATTGTTGGCCCACAAGTATCAAAAAAAACAGTCATTCTTTCATTTAAGAGGATTATGTGATAAAGTTATATCCTTCTGGCAAACTCCCACCCCCCACTTTTAGAGATATAAGTATTATCACTAAACAAAGAACTGGATGCTCTGTAGACTTATTGCACTTTTTACAGGACTAAACTATAAGTTTATAAATAAAGAATTGATCAATCTGATGTGCTGTACTATTTGTATATGGTTAACTTTTCATATCTGTAGTACCTGATCTTTTATTTATATGGCAGAGGTGGTATTCAGCAGGTTCTGACCAGTTCTGGAGAACTGGTAGCGGAAATTTTGAGTAGTTCAGACAACTGGCAAATACCACCTCTGACTGGTCCCGCCCCCATCTATTCTCTGCCTCCTGGGTCTTAGCTGATCGGCTGGGTCTTCTTTTGTTGCCCTGCACAGGAGAACAGACCTGGAAAGCAGGTTAGTGGGGTGGGGAGGGAATGGGATTATGCAGTAACTTTCTCCCAGGAGTGGGGAGGGAATGGGAATTTTGTGGTAACCTTCTGCCAGGAGTGGGGAGGGAATGGAAATTTTGCAGTATCCTTCCCCTGGAGTGGGGTAGGAATGCAGATTTTACAGTATCCATGCCCACCAAGCCATGCCCACAGAACCGGTAGTAAAAAAAAATTAATCCCCCACTGTTATATGGTAGCATTTGTGTGTGTGTGTGTGTGTGTGTCTGTGTGTGTTTTCTCCCCCCCCTCCATGTAAGTATCTTGGAATTATCCAGCCAGTGATTTTCTAGATAAATCCATGCAGGGTTTTTTGTGTAAGATTTTTCAGAAGTGGTTTACTATTGCCTGTTTCCTAAGGCTAAATGAGAATGACTGACCCAAGGTCACCCAGCTGGTTTCATGGCTAAAATGGGACTAGAACACATGGTCTCCCAGTTTCTAGCATGATGCCTTAACCACCATTCCAAACTTAGACTTAGAATAACTGGCTATCTTATTTAATAATATCAACATTTTATATGACATTATCAATGGAAAGAGGCAGCTTGTAACATTCAAATAAAATAAATTTATAAACTCTGGTTTTAAAAATCCTTAGCGATGAAAATCAAAATATTTTAAATTAATTTCAAGAATGGTCCCAGCTCCAG